TAATTAAGTTCTACTTCTTTTCATGTCCAAGTTCCTTATGAACCTATATCATCAAAAAATTATAATTTTAGACGAGAGAAAATACTGAATAATTAATTTTTATATTTTAATTTTGTACGATTTTTTTTTCGTTTTTCTTATTCTTATATTATTTCTTTTTTTTTTACCGATAGATTTCAGAAAGCATTGAAGGATTATGGTGTGGATGACGTTGATGTTTTCCAAACTGTCGATCTATGGGAGAAAAAAGATATAGCCCAAGTTATCACCACTTTATTTGCTCTTGGTCGTACGGTATGTATTATATTTTGATATATAAATTAATTAATATATATATATATATATAATTAATTAAATATTATTTTATATTTATCTATTTTTTATTTTTTTATTTATATAATATTTTATTATTTTATATATTTCTATACTTTGTAATTATTTGATTTACCTATTACCAATAGAAATAAATTGATATGTTTTTCTATGTGTGTATATATGTAGACTTACAAACACCCAGAATGGAAGGGACCATATCTAGGACCTAAACCATCAGAAGAATGCAAACGTGAATTTACGGAAGAACAATTGCGTGCCGGTGAATCTGTGATTGGTCTACAAGCCGGTTCGAACAAAGGTGCAACTCAATCTGGCCAAAGTATCGGTGCCACTCGTAAAATTCTCCTTGGAAAATAATTCCATCGATTAGAGAGAGAGAATATATAAAACGAAAGAAGAAAAAAAAAAACATATTTATATTTTATATTTATGTACATATGTATGTAATTATTGTATCTCTTTTTTTTAAACAAAGATATTAATTATTTAATTAATACCCAGTGTTTTGTCGTCTCTTTTTTAAACGTTGTTTTTCTTATTCTTTTATTTATCACATCCCACCTATTTTTTTTTTTTTATAATTACAATTGCGTTATTTGCTTAATTATTATCGAAAAATATTCTATATAAAATTAATTATTATTTATCTATATAATATAAAATAAAAATATAAAAATATTCTATATGAAATTAAAAATTATTCTATATTAAATTAGAAAAAAAAAGAAAAAACAAGGCAAAAAATGTATTAATCGATATTTTATCGTCAATTATGATTATCGTATAAATATTTTAACACACGTTATATAAAATGTTCTTTTCATATATACGTGTAAGAACAACCTTCGCCCCTTTTGTGTCGTTGTTTAATACGATTGTGTGAACAAATCTGATAATTAAATCGATGACCCCAAGGATCAATATGCGAGCAGGAAATAGGTAGATCATGTGATCGCTAGTTTTACATACTTATTACGTTGCAATCTTCAAACAAATAATCAGTCCCAACTGTATAGTGTTGCTTTAACTTTTCATCGGCAAGTGTTAGAAAGAAATATTTGTCTAATAAGAATATACATATAACAATTTTGGTTTATTTTTTTCTCGTTTAATTGTTTGTTTGTTTGTTTGGCGACAATTTTCAAACAATCGATCGATTAAATATGTGTTTATTCTGTGCAATGTTACAATGATTTAAAATTATTATATTTATTTTGTTTGTTTTCTAACTTCAAGGAATATATCTACAAAGGTGATTAACAACAGGTATTCGTATCTAATTGAAAAGTAATCGAAATTCATGGGAAAAATAATAACTCATCTTCCGCCCTCTCCCCACTCTCTCTTTCTCTCTCACTCTCCAATATTTTATTTAGATTCAATAATTAATTAATAATATTATCGAGATTAATTTAATGTACGTTTGAAAAAGAAAGTATTAATTTTTGAAAAACATTAATTTTATAACAAATAATTTTGTATGGTTTTTTTTTG